CGTTTGCTCCATCGCGCGTTGCTGTAGGTTAAGCCATGTGCCATCCAAAAAACGCTTTACTAGAGCGGTCTATATATGGTCAGGGTATTTATCAAAGTGTAAATTCAAAGTGAATTTTAAATAAAAACCTCTCCACGGGAGAAATGAGGACGATATAAAATAAAATTGCTAAAGCTGCAGTTCTCTTGTCTGCAGCCTTTGTAAGCCCTCCCCCTCTAGCCCCGCCCAGACTTCCAGTCTGAGCCAGGGAATCCTCCAATCAGATACTTCTCATTGACAGGCGACAGCACAAGCAATCCCAGCTTTCGAAGGCTTCGTAATGACCAGCGCCAACAGAAGAGGAAGAAACGAGACGGTCAGAGTCCGAGAGACAGCCTGGGGCGCTGTCTGACCCCAGTTATAAATGTGAGGATTTCTATTGAAAATAGACAAGCAAGCTGGAGTGCTTAATATGTGTGTCACTTTAAGGCCAAAATAGTCCAATGGATAAAACAGAGAGACAGAGCTCCTTCCTATATTAGTAAATTCAGCTGGGTGGATGTACAGACACATGAGATGTTATGACAACCAGGGGATCAATTAATTTTATTACTGGATTCTATTGTTTCCATGGTGACTGCTCCTTGATAAATATAGCTTAAACCATGTTCCATAAACAACAGGGTGTGACAAACGCAAAGTCTGCGCCCAATGTACTAACCTGACGCAATAAGTGAGAGCCTTGGTGGTGCAAGGATCCTCAGCCTGACTCTTCAGATTAGCTGCATCCTCCTGCCTCAGCACTAGGGGGCATAATAAACACACCATAGGGCGGCACGCCCATCTCCTAATAAGAAATACCCCTCCCCCAGATGTAATAGAGAGACTAATGAGGGAGAACTGTGCTAATACAGAGGCTCCCAGCCGGATAGGCAGCTCAGGTACCTTCCAAGAGACATCCTCTCCACCCCACTGGACACTGACACCTCCATTGTACCCCGATACCCCTATAGTAACCTGATACACCCCACTGAACCCCGATACCCCATAGTACCCTGATACACTCCACTGGACACTGATACCCCCATTGTAACCTGATACACCCCACTGAACATTGATACCCCATAGTACCCTGATACACCCCACTGGACACTGACACCACCATTGTAACCTGATACACCCCACTGAACACTGACACCCCATAGTACCCTGATACACCCCACTGAACACTGACACCCCATAGTACCCTGATACACTCCACTGAACACTGATACCCCCATAGTACACAGATACACCCATTGTAACCTGATACACCCCACTGGACACTGACACCCCCATTGTAACCTGATACACCCCACTGGACACCGATACCCTCTTTGTACCTGCTACATTCCCTATCCCCCTGTTTATATGCAGCAATGGATACAAAGTTTCTCCTGGGTTAATTAATGGGGATTTGCAAATTTAAACCAGTTCATGTTCTTTCAGTGCTATTTCAATCTTTGTGAGAACATTTTAAATGGTAAATAATATCACACATTATTTAAGAAGATAGCTGCTTCCCATTGCAGTGTCTGTCTGTCTGTCACCGGTCAGGTGGGTGTAGAGACCCCATTTATTCCAGCACATGAGGACAGCAGACTTACTCAGACTGCACCTATTTCCCCACCTGTACCAAATCAGCCATTAAACTGGGATTTGACAAGGGAATTGCACACTCCAGACCAAACTAGACGAGTTGGACAAATTGTCCAATCTTAATGTTTTCACAGCTCGGCTATTTTGGCCTAAAACCTGCAATTCCTCATCTGTTCTCCCCGTCTCACTTTAGTGAATAAATCCCATGTGATACGTTGGCTGAAAGACAGATTATGGAATGAAAATATTAAAAGTATCTGTTAGAACATTCTCCTCTCCCGCTGGTCCCCAGTGCCTCTATTAATGTGTTTATGAATTATTGGTTTAAATGTCGCTTCAGGTGACAGTTTATTGAATAAACCATTGTCTCTTTACCGCAGACCTACCACGCCGGGTGCAATGACTGGGGCGTATCAGACGGTTCCAGGTTTTCTTTACTAGACATCACATTGTAATTTCTGCTCTAGTCACAGCCTGGATATTGACTTCTGTTTTCTTCACATCTCAATTATCTACAATTACTGGTTTTGTGAGTAAATTCAAAAGAAAAACAAGATTATTTAGTAAAATGAGAATACTAAGTGAATTTTAATTTTAAGGCCAAAGTGGCTGAGATGAAAAAATTCATCCAATCAGCTGTGCTTCCAGTTCCACTACTTGGGCTTACAATGAAACTTTATCTCCATTTCCTGGCAATTGTCGCTTTCGCCAAAAAACTGTAAATATTCTCTGGGTGACATATTGCAAAACAACACCTGGCGTTGCGTTGAAGTGCGATAAACTTGGAACGAGAATGGACTTATTAATGATACTTCATAAATTAAAGGGTTACTCCAAGCACCGTGACCACTCAGACCTTTAGAAGTGGTCATGGTGGTAGCAATCTGCGCAGCATTTTTGCTTGAAACACGGCACATTCAAAGATCTTTACATTTTTGTGCCGGGGGCTGTTGCATCTCCAACATGTGTGAGTTAGACAGCCGGGAACTCTTACCCGCAGTGTTGAAACCAGGGTGGAGAGCTTTAAAAGGGACTGGATTCCAGGTAAGTTAATTGCTTATTTTTCAGGGTATTCTGAAATGGAAAGGGGGGGCATCATTACTAAATCCCAAAAAGGCATACAAATAAAATGGAGTCCTCTCCTGCAACTGTCAAAAATAACCTACTAAGTTTCCCAGTGAATACTTTTTTTTAGCAACCTATTTCATTACCCCTACTTATACCCTTTGTGTCACCATACCCCACTCCCTCTAAGATGTAAGCTTATTGAGCAGGGTCCTCAACCCCTCTGCTCCTGTGTGTGTCTGTTAGTCCACCCATTGTACAGTGCTATGGAATTTGCTGGCGCTATATAAATAATAAAATAATAATAATTGTCTCTTTAAAAGGACCACTCTAGACAGCCAGACCACTTCAGCTTAATGAAGTGGTCTGGGTGCCAGGTCCTTCTAGGGTTAACCCATTTTATTTATAAACATAGCAGTTTCAGAGAAACTGCTATGTTTATGAATGGGTTAAGCCTTCCCCCAAAGCCTCTAGCGGCTGTCTCATTGACAGCCACTAGAGGCGCTTGCGTGCTTCTCACTGTGATTTTCACAGTGAGAGCACGCAAGCGTACATAGGAAAGCATTGTAAATGCTTTCCTATGCGACCGGCTGAATGCGCGAGCAGCTCTTGCCGCGCGTGCGCATTCAGCCGAATGGGCGGAGAGGAGGTGGATCGGAGGAGGAGAGCTCCCCGCCCAGCGCTGGAGAAAGGTAAGTTTTTACCCCTTTCCAGAGCCGGGCGGGAGTGGGACCCTGAGGGTGGGGGCACCCTCAGGGCACTATAGTGCCAGGTATAGTGGTCCTTTAATTGTAAGAATGAGGTCAGACATGGAATAGGCAGGAGGGAACGTACAATGACCTGGGGTAGACACAAGCACAATCTGGAATATAGATATTGTGTATTCACAGAAACGGAATAGAGAGACTGGATGTTATCAAACTCTTTATTGTAAAACAAAACAAGATGGTCATATTCCAGCATTTAACTACAATACATGAGTAAAAAAATAATTCTGTGAAATAAGATACATTGTTCGATAAATGTGTAATAAGTCAGTCTGTGAAATAAGATACAGTGTTCTTGTTCTACATTACATTTTCAGTTCCATAAATGGTTGTCTGTCAGTCAGTCATGCTGTCACTTTAAATGTTCTGATAAGCCCTGCCCATGGTCACACCCCAATCTCTGGAAATGGTCCCGCTCCTGATTACACCCCATGGAATAAACAGTATATAGGATAGCCCACACTCTATAGAAATTAATCTCCTCCCTCTGCATGCAGACACTGAACTTTCCTCATAGAGAGATTCATTGATTCAATTCATCTCTATGAGGAGATGCTGATTGGCCAGGGCTGTGTTTGAATCATGCTGGCTCTGCCCCTGATCTGCCTCTTTGTCAGTCTCAGCCAATCCTATGGGGAAGCATTGTGATTGGATCAGGCTACCACTTCTGATGATGTCAGCAGACTGTTTGTTTTTCTGCATCTAACAGCATGCAGTTTGACAGCTTCTGGCTTGAATTCAGTAAGATTTTTACTATATTTATGGAGGCATGAGGGGCTCAGGGGGTGCTAGATGCTGTTTTTAACACTATAGGGTTAGGAATACATTTGGTTGCACTGGTGACTATAGTGCCCCTTTAAAGATATAGTGATCCTTCAAATTTGTTATAGATTACGTTGAACATACTCTCAGCTTACCTTAGAAAATGATGATATAGAAATAATTTAAATGTTTTAGCGAACACTTATTTTTTTTTTTAAATAGCCCTCTTCAATGTCAGGTTTATGTAGTGGTTATGGTGGCAGGCGTGCCCTAGTACCCAGCCTATCCATTTTAAGGAGTCAAGCATTTTTTGATAGTTGTTTATTGCGGTGCGCCGGGCGCCACTCCCCGCCTCCACTACCCTCACTGGAAATTCCTACACTCGTTAGCTCTCCTGAGCAAAGCCCAGCTCATTGGTTGACAGCTATCAGCTGACGCTCTGTGTTTGGATCCCGTGGTATTAATTCTCAGTGATATTGTGAACTAATTGCACTGCGGACTCAACAAGTGAATTCTTCTCATAGCTCCGTCCTGGCCGTCCCGGTATTATCTCTTTAGCCTTTATGGGATGTTAATAAACAAACTGTTATCACTGACATTTCTCATCTTCAAATGGACTATGTTTAATTTCATTCCAGAGGGTTTTAGACACACGAACGTTGCATGAAAGATCCTTTATTCCAGAGCGATTTTTTTTTTTCTTAAAACCAGACCCAAAATTTCAATTTTTACATATTTTTCTAGCTTTTCATCAGGATCCAAAATGTTGTGGCAATGAAATACTTGCGTCAGTTATTGATTTTGGTTTAGTCGAGCAATCTCCCCTATTTCAGCTGGATGTGTCCTTAGCCGTTAGTGATGTAATTCTGACGAGGACATGTTATTACAGGACATCTTGAAGGTAGACCGGTCATCAGATACTACCATACTACCATCGAAGGGTTACACCATGGCCAGTGATTTGAAGTGGATATGGTCCGTGCAGTTTGTGCGCAATGTTTCACTATGAAATACTGGACATACAGAGATTAACCCCTCTGCTGCCTGTGCTAACACCATCTCTGGCAGCGTCATCAGGCCGGCTGCACTCAGTTGCCAATCATTGATGGACAGTCAGCCAATGCTCTCAGCCAATGAATGGCTTCCGAGTCGTGCAACTCTGAGAAGACCAGGATCCGGGGACCCAGGTTCGAGTGTAAACCACCATTAAACAATTTGCTCCATTTCTGGGAAACCAGGCGAGGGTACTCCAAGCGGGCTGCGCAGGTTGTGATATTGGCGTAACCCTTTGATGTCAGACCTGACCGTCATGTAACTGTATTTTGTAATCGTCCCCTCTGATGAGCCTTATCTGGCGAAACGGGCATCAGGGACTCAAAATGAACTCCCTCACCACAAATAGATGAGTCTACGGACACTACTTCACTTAATACTTTCCTAAATACAGCTGGTGTGATGTAGGGAATTTACTGATCTTTTGTATTGCTGACTTCGAAGAGATTTCTCCTCATGGCGAGAACATTATTAGGGACTTTATGTTCTTTTGTTTAGTAGGTATTTGCCCATGAAGACACGTTAGGGTTGTAGCGAAAAAACTGGTCTTACACAGCCTATCTCCACTTTAGATCTCAGTAAGGCTCAGGAACAAGTATTATAAATCCACAGGGTAATATTTCCAGCAGGCAAAATACTCCAACAATATCCCAATCGCAATCCCAATGACTGGACGACACACAGCATTAGGAGCAGAACTAAACTTTTAATCACAGCAGTTCCTTATAAAGGATTCTCCCATGCAAGGGAGGGATTTACAATAATTAGGACAGTAACCAATGGTACAGTAGTTCCCTCCCATACATTCCCTCCCCTCAGTGTGACACTTAATCCACTTATTTCTGGTGCAGTTTTCCCTGTTTTTTGGATGTACCCCAAAACTGTGGGGTACAAGGATCTAAGTAGCTTCCCCTGGTAGCCCTGATCTGGGTGACCAACATACTCAAAATTCACCCAGATCAGACCAGGGGTTCGGGAGTTATGGGGAATAAACTATTTGACCGACCGCACATGAAGGGGTAGCCAAAAAGGGTTCCATGTGTTTTGGCCCTGCGGTCGGTCTACGTTCGGGAGGTAAAACAGTCACTAATCTTTGCCATCCATTGCTAATAATGCATTCGCATGAATCCCCTTGTTCGTTAGATTGAATTCACTGAACGAGGGGTTGATTGGCCCCTCCGTTCGGGAGTTCTGGAGGTCTCAGAGGGGGTTCGGGTAATAGTGTCTGATTTGAGTTCCAGACACTCGACAACTAAACACCGCTGAGAGTTCGTGCGTAAGATGGCCGCCGCCACGTGTTCGCTTACCGAATGGCGGCCACCCAGATATAGCAATAAAACACTGATTAACTGTGGTTAGAGAAGTGTGAAAGCCTTAATGAGGTACACACTTCTCTCTGGGGTGGTCTATTGTTTCGGTAGTTTCCATTCGTATGAAATATGAATGGAAACTACTGAACAAGCATACGAATTCCACATACAATTTTAATTATTCAGTAAGATAAACACACGAACAGTCTTTTAAACACAATCCTGCAGGACAGTCCAATGCCATCCGCTACAAGGGTCATCCATGGTGCTTCAGTAGTTTACATAACGTTTGTGTGTTTGATGTGCATGGTAGCACACAGGGCTCATGGACATTTGGGTATTTTAATTGAATTTCAAATGATTAGGGAAGGGGGGTGGGTAGAGGTTTGAAGGAGCAGTGAGGTGAGAGCAGAAACCCTACACCACCTTTACATTCAGAGCGTTTTGGGTTGTGGAAAAATTAAAGACCACCAAAGGATAGAGAGGCAGGGGTAGCGGTGTCAGGAGGAGAGAGCTATGTTTCAGTTAAGGCTAGTAAGTCTAGGGAACGAGAGATGAAAAGGTCATGCACAGCAGTGGATTTACTAACACTGCACACAGAGGGCAGAATGGAAGGAGGATTTAAAGGAAGAGTGACATGAGAATTTTGTGATTCTTGGAGTTAGCACATGGTGGGTTAGCGGAGGTGGGACCGGGATTTGGAGAGAGATCACCAGCTGCTAGGAGCAGGAGGATAGAAAGTAAGAGAAGGTGGGAGTAGGATTTAAAGGTTTTGTGAGAGTGTTTGTGTAACGGATCCCCTATACTCCGGCTGAGTATATCCACTGTAGTTCTCCCAAACTCCCAGTGAAGCAGTGATTATAGCTCCCAATTCCCCAAACATCAGCCTAGACTTGATTAAGGGTAGAAACGAATGTGTTTAATCTGGCTAACTGGCCCACTTATCTACAAAGCAAGGATGCAGTAACGCCCAGAACACTCCCACAAAATGTCCACAAATTCCTGTGTACGAGCGACTCGGCATTAAAACAAACTATCAAAATACATACAAAACAAATAGAAACCCCCACAAATTATGTATCGTTAAATAGCTCTGATCTGAGTTCTCCAAATAGCGCTAGGATCCATGCAGTGTAGGGGAAACTCCACCAGGTGGAACTTCTGACTGGCCGCACACATAGTGAGAGTGAAAGAAAAGAATATAAGGGAGAGCATTCTCTAAGGAGAATAAAGGAGTTTATATTATAAAGAAGGATAATTAGGATTTTTAGTTATGCAAAATTAGGGGAGTTGGGATCTTAAGTCACATGAGAGGGGTCAGAGGTTGCAGGGGTAAGGCTGTTGCTGGTTTTGGCAGCTGTGAGTCCTGGGGGCTAATGTTTTGTTTTGGACCCAGGCTCTGCTTAAGGCTGTAGCTGGTCTTGATAAAAATCAGGAGAGAGACTCAGCGCTTAACAGATGGGGCAGCAACCCTTTAAGGGAATCCCTCAGACCTTTGGAATACAACAAGAATAAAAACAGAGATAAGGGCTGCGCCAAAATAAACCAATAAAATATATGTTTTTATTCTTGTAGACGCTCTTGGTAGCTGTGAGTGCTGCGAGCTAATAATGGCTAATTGTATATTACCCCGTATTATATACAGACACACACAATAGGTATGCTGTAGATGATGATTCTTTAGACATTACCCCATATTATATACACACACTATGTAATCTTTATAGAACACACCATTTGATTAATTAAATATGACCCCATATTATATATATATACACACACACACACACACTATGTATTCTGTATATAACGCACCGTTTATAACATGATTCATTAGATATTACCCAGTGTTATATTCATACAATATGTAATCTACATATAATACACCCAATATGATCTGTTTTTCAGAGTGATGGCAGTTTGTTTATTGCAGCTGAAGAAAGGATTCTACGATGTTGATCTTCACGAGTTTCTAGATGAGATTCATGGTTCGTTATTGAATACGCTGCAGAAGAGATGGGATTGCGCTTGGACTTACATAGACTGTGCAGTCACATGAGATTCTATTCAGCACGTCCGTTTACAAGGTATTTCAGGTTCTCAGTTTGAGAGTTAAAAAAAAAAAAGTTAAACATGAATTGTGTCTTTACTAAAATAAATCTGTTCCAATAATGTGCAAGGAGAATGTAGAAATGGCAGGGATTGGCGTGGACATCTTTAGCGGAGCTGAAATCATTCTCTAACACGTCTGTTTTCAGCCATGCTATACACCATTTCTTTGACAAATCTCCACAATTCCTCATTTAGTGCACTCTCTCTTATGTCTTTTAGCAAGTTATTCACCCAATCTTTAATCCTAATAAAAAATAAAAAAAAGACAATCTTTGTTCTCTGACGAGTTTTATTTTCTGCTTCCCAGAGAAACATCACTGATTTCACAAGTGTCACAGACAGGGAACAATGACATACAGCACATGAACGCAGGCACCAGAAAGGCAGGCTATGGGGCACAACACATTAGGGGTTCCAAACCCAGCCCCAGAAAAATTGCTGCATTCACAACAAAATACATGTCTGTTCATTGGAGCATAAAGGATCAATAAATAAAACCAGCTCTGGAGCGAGACAAAGTCTAGGAATGGACAGAATGGGAGTCTGCAGGCAGGTACAGGAGACATTACCCCCAGCAGAATATTAGCTGCCCAAACCTCGAGCAGAGGAACAGAAACCAGATTTGTACAATTTTACATCCAAGCTTTAATCAAACATTGGCCACATTGGAGTCTTGTTTTTTTAAAACTTATTTTGGTATAAATGTTACAAATTGATCAATAATGTGCCGTTTAAATAATAATCCACGGTGTAACGGCTTACGGAAGTACCGTTGTCTCAGGCCACGGATCCGGTTTGTTACTAAACTCAGAATTTTTGAGAATTAAAGGGACACTACAGTCACAAAGTCCACTTCCTCTCACTGAAGTGGTCTGGGTGCAGTGTCCTCTACACCCTGCAATATAAAACATAACTCCAATACTGTGCAATGAGAATGTAATGTCCACCACTACTGGCTGTCAGTATGACAACCTCTAGACAAAGTAAAACTAGCAGCACTGATGCGGCAATGATGGCAATGCATTGATTCACTGCTTTGCTATGGGGAAGTTTGAATGTGTGCGCAGCGCTTGCCACACCTGCACAATAGGTCCCAAACTCTCCTGTATTAGAAGCATAGGATTGGTCACATCAGCGGAGGAGGCCATGCCTCCTCTATGATGTCACAGGAGGCGGGAAGATGAGGGACAGGGACACTTTAGTCTAAGAGTTCTTTTAAATCTGAATGAAAAAGTTATTGGAGAATGTTTCCCGTCTGTTTTTGGTTCTGAATTTAGTGAATAAACCTGAAACTAATTAAACTAGTTATGGAAACAGCTGAAAGTTCACGATAAGCTCAGTGCCATATTTTGAAGGGAGACAGAAAGTAAGGTCCCTGGACGCCTCACTGTAGGTAGACCGGTACTTGGAATGACGTTCAGGGCTCGGGCTGTAACTATTTAGATATCGGTGTGTCGCCTTAACTGACTCCCACCTCTGCTAATAAACACATTCACAGCTGGAGCGTATATACAAATCTGTAAACAACTAAAGCAGGACAGTGGAGGTCTGACAAGAGAATTACAGTGTCATTTCCAGTGATCCATGTCTTAGTAAATGGCTGTTAGTCATGTGACACTGCAGAGTGGGATTAACTCTTTCCAGTATGACACTCAGGACAAAGGGAGCAGCAAGGGGATTATCTTCAAAATGTACAGAGAAATTCTAGTTAATAATAATAGAATACACTGCCTGATGAGCCCGGCTAGGAGGTATAAACCAGCTCTGATAGTGCTTTGCATTGATCACGTGAGCGGTCATTCTAAAAGCTCCCGTAAAGTCACCTCATTATTGGTATCGAGTCGCGTGAGCTTACTTTTAAGTTTCTAGATGGTTGTGACTCAAACAAACCCCGCTACATCCACTGTCAGCTACACTTATCTGGTTAAACTGCAAGCTCATCAGGCAAACTGGTAATAAATGCCTTAAATATACTAAACGAACAAATTCATTCAAAAGAAAAACACTAATTCTGCTGAAACTCTGGCGGACTGTGCCCCTCCTCCCGCTATATCCAGCTAGCTCCCTGTATAAATAAATGGAATGTTCCACGAAGCAGGGGAGGGGGGTACATGTCCCAGCATAAACATTTATAATAAATATTGTCAGCATCTCTGTAAAACAAGCATTACATTTGATCTACATTATCTGCCTCTGATCTGTAATAAGCCATAAATGGAGGAGCCCCAGGGAGCGGGAAATTTCTTATCTGTGGCTCACTGTGGATATTTAATAATCTATTGTAATTACATTAAAATATCACTCTTTAATAATACCCAATTTTAAAAGGCTCTTTCTTTAAGACAGGGTTGCAAACCACCCGTCACATGATAAAGCAAAGTTCTATTATCCTTCCTGCTCAACTGTGTGCAAATTATTGTTAACTCTGTGTGTGCAAGGCCTTGCCATAGAATTTAAGGAGTTAATATCCGTGCAAATCCACTTGGAGAGAAATATACTATAATTAGTTTCAGCTTTCGTGATTAGTCGTTTACCCAAGGAATATGGGGCAAACGAGGGAAGAATTAAAACATCCTGTAGCACGTTCGATATGGCTCAATCACATTGTAATCTATATCCTCGAGGATTAGGGTCTGTAGGGCAAACCCGGAGATATTAGGGTTAAATTATAATGCCAGAAGAACATCTATCTGGATGAAAGATAATATCAAATAAAAATTCCTAAAACTGCTTCATTACTGTAGGTTAATATTCAGGAGACGTACGTGTGATTCAATAGGGAGTCTGTGGGTTATGGAAGGCAGATTGCGCAGCACAATAAATTAAAGGCTGGTCTGAGGTATATGGGTGGAGAAGGGTTAATGCTGATGTCGATCTGACTTCTTCCAAGGGGTGATAAGACAATAGTAAACATTGCCAACTAGAAAACGGCCACAAATTCCTGAAAGTACAAAATGATGGTCTACACCCAGCAGAGGACGGATTTGGGACAAAGAAGTGGATACTCCCAAATACATCACTCATCTTCCATTGAAATATTGAACGATAATAAGAGGGTAGGGGTTGGGGCAGGCAGGGTGAGATAAAATACATTTTAATTTCCCAGACACCACCAAATCCCAGGACAGACCCTGCCAGCCATCATTTCAATGGGCAGCTCTCCGAGTCCTGACAAATGCTTAGCAGTGAGGACTTTGGGATGTTTTACCCAAAATTAGTATCTCGGGTGGGACCTTCTCCAGCTGTTGTTGAAACATACAATCTTTCTAGATGATATCTACAATTCCTCCTTGAATCGCTGGTTGCAGTATTTCACCGGGGGTGTGATATGAGTAAAGCAGGGACTGTTTGGGTTATTGTGAGCTGGTACCCCGCCTGCCCCATTTGTATCCCTGCAACCCTTCCCCTACCAGTTGGCATTGTCCCACCCGTCCTCGGTGGAAGGTGCCTTTGCCTTGCCACCTTTTTCCTCCTGCCAATGACTGTCCCAGTTTTCCCAGCTATCGCTGTTGCTGTTCTTGTTGTTGGAGGTGGTCCCAGACCCCCACACCTCCCAGCTATCCGAGCTCTTCCTGCCCGTCGAGTTTTCTGGGAAGGTCCAGCTGTCACCGCTGGGTGATTTCGAGGGTTTTTTCACATCCTCAGAGCTGCCGAACGTCTCCCAAAAGCTTTTCCCAGGATTGGTGTTTTGATAGCCTTCTCCATCTGCTGACTGGTAACCCTCTCCTTGTGCAGAGCTGGGTATTAAAAAAAACCAAAAAAAAACAAAGGAGACCATGAGTTTTTAGATTGGAAGACTGACATGCAAAGAAAAAGAGACATGGGGTGGCAGTGAGATATAAATACAAGAGACATGGACAGCCAGGGAGATATAAATACAAGAGACAAAGCGGAAAGAGAAGAATAAAAATAATAGAGAAAATAACACAGAGTACAAACACAGACAGAGCAATACCACACAGAAGAGCAGGACACATTAACATGGAGAAATTCAACAAAAAAATAACATTTTAATTTCTGGATTATAACAAATTGTTCTTGTCACTCTCACTCATTTTAAACAGATATTCTACATTTGTTACAGAAAGAAAATGAAATTAGCCATTTTTATTAAGCACTTAAACTGCAACCAGGATACAATAAAACGCAAATAATACATGATATTTGAGGTGGTTATGGTGGAAGGAGTATGTATGTGCAGTGTTTCAGCTTGAAAGCTATTTTTAATTGTGTGCTGGGGGCTAGTTACACCCCTGAACTCTGTTCCAATCTGCCTAATGTCAATTCTGTGCACTGCAAGCTGGTGACAGACATAATTGTAGGAGGGAGGGGAATCTCATCTCCCCTCCCTTCCACCCACATTGATTGTAGCCCTCCTCGCCTCTCTATCCTCTCAGCTGATATTTATTTTGTTGATCCTGCCCTTCCGCTCCCTCTGTTCCCTCTCTCCCTTTGCGGGTTCAGAGTACACACACACACACACACACACACAGTCAGTGGTAAATGCGTAGCGACACAAGGCCTCCAATAAACACACCCCGGCACAAGTCGAAGCCTCCTCACCTGTCTCCTGACTCTTCATTCTTGCCTGAGAAGAACGTGGTCATATCTTTCCAACTCTTAGTGCCAACACCCTGCACCTAGGGGAGACAGTTAGGGTTTATGTTTAGAGCAAAATCACATTCAGGGGAAAAATAAATAAAATTCTGTCTGTGCACTTTTCTAGAAGATGAAAAAGAAATTGGAGAACTAATACAAGGATAAAACCAAAACAAATACCTTAAATAATTTTTGCTTGTGCAGTACATCATCAGTTTCTACTGCGGAAAGCTAGCCAGTGAACTACAACTCCCAAAAGCCAGACATGAATTTATTAAACTCTTCTTAATATTAGGAGGTTCAATGCAGTCCTCCACAGAGTGGGGATTAAGGGGTCTAGAACGGCATGGAACGTCCTAATATTTTGACTTGAGCAGGGTTAAACTAATGATCCCTCCAGGGAGTCCCAGGTATCAAGCAATACATGGTGCTCCCTCCACTTTCAGTTGGAGTCAGATTTTGTAGCCCCAAACTGACTGATAAGTTGTATGCACCGCTCAATAGAGCGGTGATCAGGCTAAGTGGCGGTGATTTTACGATTTCAGCAACTGAAGAGATCCCCAGGGTCTCCCTGCATGTCCCCAAGCCAATTGTGATCGGTGCTGGACTATGCCAGCTGCCCAACACCAATCACAGTGTAATTTGGAGAATGCTTAATTTCAATAATACAGGCAAATCTCCCTGTCATAGTAAAAACAGCCAGTAGATGGCAGCAACATACTGCTCTCAACTTTTTTCTACAGCAGCTCTGTTAACCCATACTTTAATGTATCTTCTCTTCCTTACTCCTAGTTGATTCTTCTTTTTCAATTTGTTTCTCCTAAATTACATAGGGCAAACTAGGCATTACTCGGCCTGATGTAATTTTCCTTAGCTTGACAAAACTTGATAAAAGACAGAGCTCCTTTTGTCACATCCCTCAGCAATGATGGCGATGGCAGGGAGAATAAGGCATTGTCTCGCTCATTGCCAGATTAAATCTATGGAGGCTCAATAGACTTTGGTGCTGTACTCCTGCACACTGATGTCAGTGTGCTATGGCTGGTAAAGTGTTGTGGGGTGGTAGTGTTTGTGTAAGCACAGGGTAAGGGGTATGATTGGTAAAGTGTTGTGGGGTGGTAGGGTTTGTGTAAGCACAGGGTAAGGGCTATGATTGGTATAGTGTTGTGGGTGGTATAGGGTTTGTGTAAGCACAGGGTAAGGGCTATGATTGGTATAGTGTTGTGGGGTGGTAGGGTTTGTGTAAGCACAGGGTAAGGGCTATGATTGGTAAAGTGTTGTGGGGTGGTATAGGGTTTGTGTAAGCACAGGGTAAGGGCTATGATTGGTAAAGTGTTGTGGGGTGGTATAGGGTTTGTGTAGGCACAGGGTAAGGGCTATGATTGGTATAGTGTTGTGGGTGGTATAGGGTTTGTGTAAGCACAGGGTAAGGGCTATGATTGGTATATTGTTGTGGGGTGGTAGGGTTTGTGTAAGCACAGGGTAAGGGCTATGATTGGTAAAGTGTTGTGGGGTGGTATAGGGTTTGTGTAAGCACAGGGTAAGGGCTATGATTGGTAAAGTGTTGTGGGGTGGTAAAGAGTTTGAGATGATACTGTAGTCACCATTTCATTTCCGTGAATTGGTTACAGTGCATGGAGTCCCCTGGCAGTGTCCCTCCATTCAGTGTTAAACCATGAACAGTTTAACACTAAATAAGTGTCGCTGGCCACTCACAGTCTGGCCCCTTCTGGAGGTGTGGCTAAGGCACACTTCCTTGTAGTCATACCCATTCATACAGTTAGCTGGAGTTCTGATCACCTGTCACTCACTGCCAATCACAGCTGCCCATTGCTGCTCATGTTTTTTTCCGTTAGGTCAGGGGTGCCCAAAAGGTATATCCCCAGATATTTTAGCTTCCATGATGCTTTGTCATTCTAAAGGAATTTAAAGGTATGCAAAGCATCATGGGTGTTGTAGTTCTACCTTTTGGGCACCCCTGTGTTAGGTAGTTATATTAAAAGACAGCCCTTTCTATCCTTTAATAATCAACATAGAATATGTATCGGGGCACTTAGAGAGAAACACTTAGATTATGGTGGAGCAAACACATGGCACAAATTCTAGGTATTGCTTCGGCTCAGAACAATTCCTTCCGCCTTTAAGGAGTAAAAATAAATAAATAAATAAAACCTCAAACAAGGACAAACACCATATCACTAAAGGTTGATAAATTATTATTGTGAATAATTATGCAGAATTAATGCTTTTCTTGTACATGTTATGAACACTCAACGACAAAGTGCACATTGTATAAACAAACAACCACAATAAATAACATAACCTACATAACTGTGCACCTAAACATGTGTGGGAGCCTGGAGGCTTTCTTAAATATCTGAAGAGGTGTGTGCGTTCCCAGCTGGTGTGTAAATGTTAACTCACCACACAATATCCAGACAGCAGCATGTGGAGAGAAAATTAGCACGTTAAAGATTGCGTTCAGAGACTTGACATGTCACGGCAGTAATCTCTGTATCACCATGCTGGGTTCTGGGTAACAGCGTCACATAGTGTGAATTAACGACAAACCAAACTTACACCAAAACAGCCAAACTGAAATCACAGCGAACTCAGAGAATATACAACTTGGCCGTTTTCACCTGAAATATAAAAAGTTTGAATTCCTGATAACACATTTTTGTAGACAGGTAAAAACCCTGGCTGGAGCAGAAGATCTTTAACTACAAATCCCATCATCCTCTAAAGGGAATTAAATATTCTGTTTTATAGAACATATTGCTAGCATGTACTGAATTACCCACAATCCAGCATGGGAAAGAGATTTACTGCCGGCCTTTTCTCCTACCTTGGCTGCCAAAGAGGCTACTCCAGTAGAGACATCTTCTAAGATCCGGCCATCTTTCACCTGAAGTCAAGGGGGAGAGAGTGGGATAAGGAGCAGGAGCAGTCAAGATGTGATCATGAAAGGAAATGAGTGAGCTGAAGCAGTTAAGAGAATGGCCTGTTCCATTGATTACCGCCAAGCAGACAGTTTGTAAAGAAACTGCGCTGTGCCCAGAGGTAAAATAAACTATATATCAGCATGCAGAGGAATGAACGAAACCGCAAGGAAGCACGGGGAGAATTTTATTTTTTTTAAAGTATTTTTCTAGAGAATTTAAATAGAAGAATAAAACCAGTAACAATGTAAAATAATATCAGATTAGTAGGTCTAAGAGCAGTACGTTTTACAGGCTACGCGGCTAGTGGAGGCGCTGTTAATTACGGTTATGTATAAAATACATGGAAACGGCCAAAAGACACCCCCCAGAAAATAAACCACCACCACGCTGCGCCAGAATGATCTGGGAAGGGGTGGCCAGGCAGGGACGGATCTCAATAACCGGAAAAGCATTACCGGTACTGAACAGCAGCATGCATTGTTAGACTTTGGGGTTAACTTGCGAAGTGACACCTTGTCCCATGTAGAATTATTATAAAGGGTTAATTAAAATATCCACAGCCATTAAACCAGCAGTGTTAATCTCAGCAGACTGTTAAAGTGGCACCGTCATCACAAATTCTCTCCTTCGTACACCACTATAAACGGGGAAAGCCGTGAGGAAATCATTTTAAAACCTGTTCTGCAATTGATTTTTACTAAAAGCGTATTGTAAGGTACTGCGCTATAACTTTTCTTTTTCTTAGGTATGTTGAACACGAACATTGAAGTTCAAAGAAGCACTTCCTGTTTATTGCCTAGTGTAGAGCAAGGCATTCAGTTCACTGCCTCTGATTGGCTGCGGACATGCTCTGATCCAATTTAAAGATGGTTGCCTCCATGGTGAAACACTAACAGACTGCCCAGGATCTTTTCCAGCTAAACTTACCAACGCTTGATTAGAGGGAAATATTATTCGTCTGGGAATATTATTTAAACTTGTTATATAAAGAGAATTTTAGCGACTGCGCCACTTTAATACCTAGGGGCTATGGATGTTACCTTATCTTGCGCTGGTTTGACAACATTTTCATTAAGTGTCTGGCCTAGCTCAGAAGCCTATTCCGGGGGAAACAAAAGAACAAAAGAGGGAGTTTTAACAGGTCAGTTTCACAGAGACTGACTACAGGACACATGCATTAAACTGGCATGCAAGGAGACAGACAGGGTGACAGCCAACAAGACGGGGGAAAGAGAGGATAATGAACAATGGTTATGAATAAAAGTAAAGACAGTCAATAGATTGAGGGAAGAAAGAGAAACAAGAGGATTGGAATGGGAACAATTATTGCCACTGGGATGCTGGATCCTCAGCTGCCACCAGCTGGATCATGAGGAAGGTACAACAGGACTGCTCTGCATGGTCAGATGAATGGAATCATGTCAAACACCACAGACAAGACAAACCCACATTACAAGAGCGCCAAGACGGCACGCATGGACCAGCCACACAGATATACCAAGAAGATTACCGAGTCCGGCGGATGCTTGTTCCCTCCCCAAAACTGCACGAGGGCAGGGAGAGGGTGGGAGAAAAGTTACTTTTAGTAACTAGTTAGCCCTTGTAATGCCTGCACGATAGGATACTTCGATAGCAAGCTATAGGCTGATGTTGCAGGACACAATATTGACTTTAAGACCACTGGTCCCTTACAGTCTAGCGGTCACCTCTAAACCGCAACCATCAGAAGAAAGTTGACTTTATGTAATGCAGCAGTCATAGCTAAATGTACATTCCCTTTCCACATTAGTGATAGGACTTCCATCTTTTCTTTAAATGAATTCATTGGGGTGAATGGAGGAGGTGGGTTCCCTATTAAACCAGTGAAGTACTGTAAAACAGCCCCCCACACCAGCCCAAGATTAGTGGTGCACTAAGGGTCACCAATATCAAGTAGGTGATGAGAACCCACTTTTTAATAAATGGATCAATTAAAGATGCCAATGGCATGAAGGAGATACCTAAATCCCCACCTGCTTAGTATTATTACCCCCTCACACAATCGTGCAAGGCGTGAGGGATCCAGGAAACGAGGGACAACAGGCCTCTCTGTATGTGTGTGTATATATATATATATATATATATATATATATATAAAAAAAACTTTCATAATAAATTACTCAGATATTTAGCCCTCATGTTTCTTTCACCCCCCCCCCCTTTCAGTCTCTTAATAAATAAAATATTCCAAATTTTTATCACAGTTCTAGCAAGACCCAGAACACTCCAAGCACCATAATAACCACTACAGTGTGCTGTAGTGGTTACGGTGCCTAGAGGGCAAGTAGTCAAAGCATTTACTAACAATTTAACTCCAAGGAAAAGAACGGTACAGGCCTTCCAAAGATCAGCAAAGTAAATTTATTGGAACCAAGTACACAGTAACGTATTGACCCTACAATTGGTCTTTGTCAAGTTAGGCAATGTATTAACAGTTTGACGTCTTAAACTGTGGTTAGTCGGATGCCACTAAGTGGGAACAAGGAGTTCCTGCTAGTAGTTCAGCAAAGCAGGGGAGGCAGCGCGCAGTGCTCGACTGAGCCCCAGTAAGAAGTTAAACTAGTAAACTGTGTGACTACACAAACTGGGCTGGGGGTGGGGGGGCGGCACTCCTGGCACCATTACCACTATAGCATACTTTGGTGGTTATGGTGCTTGGAGTGTTCCTTTAATACGGGAGGTTGAGGAGCAGAAACAGTCACTAAAGTGTTTACAGTTAATTAAATTCTAAAGAGTAGGCCAAACTGACCGAGCTGGTGAAGAATTACCTTTTGGGTTGCTTGGGATCCTAACTTGGTTGCCTGCGGGGGGAGAAAAAAAAATGGCATCCAGTGTTCATTAACCTGTCTTACTGCAAAATCCCACAATGCTCTTGTGTAGCTAGGAATTACGGGCAAAAAAAACAAAAACACAAGCAAACTAAAATTAGAAATGAATTGGTGCTAGACTTGGCTCCCATTGAATGCTTAATGTTTAGTATCTAACAATTTAGCATTATTGGTATATGCAATAATAGGAAATACTTTCACCGTCACGCAATGTGAAAGGGAGAGTAAATGGCCGCTCACAGCGTAACGAGATCATGTTACTTACATGGTGTGTTATATATGGAATTCCCTAACATTTGGATTTGTCAGAATAAGTTACTAAAATGGTCTAAGTATCAAGGATAGTGTAAACTGGTGACTACATAAAAACTATAACCAAAAATCTGACAACTCTGTAACACAGATTCCATCTAGAAGCCAATTTTACAACATGACAGGAGGCTTCATATTTGCTTAAAGGACCACTATAGGCACCCGGACCACTTCAGCTTAATTAAAGTGGTCTGGGTGCCAGGTCCATCTAGGATTAACCCTTTTTTCTATAAACATAGCAGTTTCAGAGTAACGGCTATGTTTATAATAGGGTTAATCCAGCCTCCAGTGGCTGTCTCATTGACAGCCGCTAGAGGCGCTTGCATGCTTCTCACTGTGATTTTCACAGTGAGAAGACGCCAGCGTCCATAGGAAAGCATTATGAATGCTTTCCTATGGACTGGCTGAATGCGCATGCGGCTCATGCGCATTCAGCTGAGGAGGAGGAGAGCTCCCCACGCCCCCGCGCTGGAGAAAGAGGTAAGTTTAACCCCTTCCTCCCCCCTCAGTGCCACGGGAGTGGGACCCTGAGGGTGTGGGTCCTTTAAGGCTCTCTTTACTAGAACTCCACAGCAGCAAAAAAAAAAACACAGAGAGTGAACAACCAATCAGAAAACAGTAAGGAGACCATATAACTCCCTTCTCAACATTCCATTTCCTCTTTCTTTGCTGCTCCGCATCAGTACAGGTCAGAGTACCACTGCCTCCTGCTATTATTAGTTGGTGGCTTTGGGATTTCATTGCTTATATACAGTATTTTAAATTGTCCTTGGGGATGTTATTGATTATTCAGTATTTTAGATATTGTCCTTGTTGGATTTTTATTGCTTATATACAGTAATTTATTCCCCTTGTGGGATGTTATTGCTTATGTTCAGTATTTTTCATTGTCCTTGTGGGATGTTATTGCGCTTATACAGTAATTAATTATTGGACTGGGGAATGTTGTGACTAAAGGATCTTCTGACTAAAGACCGTTTTTTTTCTATGATCTTGGTGGGATTTTGTTTGTCTGTCACCTTGGGCTCCCACTATTCACTTCCCTATCTTTGGCTTGGGATTTGTGGGGTACTTTCTGTCACATCTATTCCATTGTCCCCCCCCCGGTTCCTGGCTTTCCCGTCCGTTCTATTACCTTCCCTATGGTCACCTTCTGAACTTGCTCTTTATTTCTGCCGTTTCCCTTTTGCTTTCGTGTCTTCCGTTTTTCCTGTCACTCGGGAGTTCGAGAGGCCTGTATTGGCCTCCTCCGACCTCCTGGGATCTCATGGATCGCGGAGAACGTCTCCAGCGTTTCCTCAGGCTACCGACGGCCGTCCTGGATTCTGCGCACTTGCGCGGGATCCAGGCGACCGCTTGTAGATTCCATATTTTCTACTATTGCAGTTTTCTCTGCCTGCCAATCTGGACTCAGGGACTCTGCCCTAGGCTGAATTGTTCTAAGCCCTTGGTCAGTAATTTTTATTCCCAGTGAAGGCCACCTCTCGTAGGACGGATACAGAAAGTGATTTCAGGGTTAGAACCCTCTCGGGACCTCAATCCTACTCGACTAGCATCAAAGGGCGAAACCCTCGCACACAGTCACCCTAGGACGGAGGGGGACTTTGGTGGGTAAGGTTGGAGGGTGCGGTCCTCCCATAACCTCAGCCCGCGGCTGGGGCTAACTTACAGGATTAGAGGGTGACCCCTCTCATATTAACCAGACACTAATTTTTACTGTTAGAGGGCGTGGCCCTTCCATAAAGGCCTCAGCCGAGGCCAATCTTCATGCAAATTGCTGGTGTTGAGCGTGACCCGCTCTTGTATACGGAGCCAGACATGGATATAGACACAGATTCCGTTATGGACGGGTACGACCATCTCAGACTGTCAGCCTGATACTGGCATGGACACCGCTTATGTTATTAGAGAGTGCGGCTCTCCCGTATACGCAACCCGCTACTGTGTTTCTTTCAGATGCGCAGACCAGGACGACTATTTTACCGTTCTCTCAGTTTTCGTTATGGAGGTGCTACCTGATGGGACATGGTACTGCATGTTTAAACTAACTGTCGCTATAATTGGTCTGCTGGACCTATGCCACTGTATACTCCTCGGAATGTACTCACTGAGGTAGCGCTGGGGAATTTCCCCCACCTTATTTCCATCTCCATGAGACCCTATTGGACAGGGTATGGGCTTCGGAACTGGCTGTCTCGGGTGCAGCTCTTTGGATTGGCCCACCTTGTTGGTGCCCCGTTACCTCCCTACTGGATATACTCTGTGAGGTTGTATTACTGTGGGGGGAACCCCGGTTATTGCAGGTATGTAGGTTTTTGGTATACTCTGCATTTTATCGAACGAGCAACCACACTCTGTTATGTCTATAAAAACCATCCCAGCCAGACCGCTCAGACAGCTTCTCCCCTATCAAGATAACATGAGACATTGAGATTTTCATAGGGCAAACAGGCGATGCCTTACTCGGTTGACTGGAAGGGGAGAGTGCCACTCTCGGGTCTGAAGAGACGCCTTGGTCGCAGGGAAAGACCGGTGTCACCCGGTCGAATTTGGGTTCCCTGGTCATTAACACTCTTGGGATGGATGACAGGAATACCTCTACTCTTCAGAGAACACTTCTGGAGAACATGATTCGTATATGGAGGACCCTCCTTCTATACGCTAATTTCCTCTCACGAGACGCCCTAGTCTTGATGTTCTCTCAACCACCTCTTCGGGAACTGACAAGGATGGCAACTTGGATTCTATGGGGAACGCCAATTGACGCTGAGTCCTACACAGACGCCATGGAGTCGGGACGCAACCTACCACTGGAGTATGCTCAGCTTTCGTATCAGGTTCGGACCAGGCTACCCGACGTTAACACGGACGGACCATGCTTCGGACGGAGGCTATGCCCCCCTTTTCACTATAGCTATTATCTGGAGTCAGCTGTCACTTCCGAAGGAACCTTACATTTATCTATGGATTAGAGGACACTATGAGATCACGGGGCTCAAGACAAGGATGGAATGCTTAGACTTCAGATACTTAGATGCCTCAGGCTATTATACCCTAACTTGGGTGTGACTGGCATACCATTACCCCCTCTACACATTTTGACAGAGCTGGACAGGAGAGAGATCGTTCAAGCAGTTAATCAGCTTCTTCCACTCTACCTAATCAGCCAACGGCCTCACGGTGGAAATCCTGGTTCAGACCCGCGCACCAAGAATGATTCGGTTTCATCCAGCCTGTTTACGCTTCGAACCACCTTTGACCCCTTTGCAGTAGATCACGCGACTACAACACGTGACGGCTCTTCTTCGTTTTTGCTGGTCACAATTACCTCTTGGATCCAGACTACTCTTCACTCCTCGACGAGGATACATCTGGATGGATATCTCGACCTCTGGTTGTTTCCTCATTTGGTTCTTTCAGGTTTCACAATCTCCCAGAGTAGTTGATCACCGTTTCACTACACAAATTCAGTTTTAGAATTCTGATCGGACGTCCATTGGGAGTACTTTGCCTGCTACAGTCTCAGGTTCCGCAATCCAATTAGAGTGCTGGGAACAGTCAGTTTACGACGAGTGGCCCACACTCTTGCCAGCAGGATAGAATCTTTTTCGGAGAAGACCACTCGCATAGTAGGTCATGAAGGTATGAAAAGAAACCATATTCGGGTCTGTCACGAAATTGGTGATGGACTCAAATGCGTTACTTGAGGTTGGAGTTGCCTGCAGAGCCACATCAACTGTTGACCCTGGCCCGATCGAAGAAGCCATCTTCCACATCAAAGGTTGAGACCTGATATTTTCCGCGGTTCCAAGTCCGCATATGGTATGTGGAATTTGCACTTGAAAGAAATGGGCAATGGATCGGCCTTGCATTTCATGGAACGTCTTCAAGGAAAGGGGTTGCAATCCCATGTACAGTGGATCTGTCAGCGGATTGAGTGTTTTTTCCGTGATTGAGGGTACATCTACAAGCTGGTATCTTCATCGATCCATCTGCTGTCGTTTCTCGCAAATGGAAGGCCTTTCGGATTGCTCTGGTTATCTCTCGGAATGGGTACCAGCGAGACAAACATCTTATTTCTTGACTGAGCGTTAAAACAGCAAATATGAAGCCTCCTGTCATGTTATAAAATTGTAGATTATGCTATCTTTAGTGTACCTATAATCTTAATTTTATTAATGACAGGAGGCGAATATTTCCCACCCTTTTGTTCCCGACCCTTGTTTGTATTTGTTATCTTGTGTGTGGAGTATTATTAAGGAGGTTAGCTTTTCAGATGTGCTTATGGTTATTAGAACACTTCTCTGTTTTCATTACTATCTAGGGAGGGAAACTGTGGACTTGGTGGTGTTCACAATCAATTTTGCACTGGGTGGCTGCATGTTTTAGACGTACATTTCATTGGTTAAAGGACCACTATAGTGCCAGGAAAACATACTCGTTTTCCTGGCACTATAGTGCCCTGAGGGTGCCCCCACCCTCAGGGACCCCCTCCCGACCGGCTCTGGAAGGGGGAAAGGGGTAATAACTTACCTTTTTCCAGCGCTGGGCGGAGAGCTCTCCTCCTCCGATCCGCCCCGCCGGCTGAATGCGCACGCGCGGCAAGAGCTGCGCGCGCATTCAGCCCGTCACATAGGAAAGCATTTACAATGTTTTCCTATGGACGCTGGCGTGCTCTCACTGTGATTTTCACAGTGAGAAGCACGCAAGCGCCTCTAGTGGCTGTCAATGAGACAGCCACTAGAGGATTAGGGGGAAGGCTTAACCCATTCATAATTATAGCAGTTTCTCTGAAACTGCTATAATTATGAAAAAATGGGTTAACCCTAGAAGGACCTGGCACCCAGACCACTTCATTAAGCTGAAGTGGTCTGGGTGCCTAGAGTGGTCCTTTAATCACATTTTCGATTCTCTTTATCTCGTTTCAGTGTAAAATTCCAGGATGATTTCACGTTCAAATTTCCAATTCGGTTGAAGATTCCTATGAGAGTCGTTATTTCAGTCGGAGATGGACTGTTATTGTTATGTTATGTTTTTTCTGCCTGTGTTGTTATCGCAGCTTGAAAGAGGAAATGGAATGTTGAGAAGGGAGTTATATGGTCTCCTTACTGTTTTCTGATTGGTTGTTTGCTCTCTGTGTTTTTTGCTGCTGTGGAGTTCTAGTAAAGAGAGACTTAAGCAAATATTCGCCTCCTGTCATTAATAAAATTAAGATTATAGGTACACTAAAGCTAGCATAATCTACAATTTTCTACTAAACTACACAGATGGAAATCCTCTCTACTTACACTCTCCTTGGCTGCCGAGGCAAATTTACTGGCTCCAACAGTGAAACTGCTCCACCCCTAGAAGAAAGGAAAACGGACAACTTCACACGAGGAAAGGAGCTTTTTAACTACAATGTGACTATACAAAAAGTTCCCACAGTAAACACAAACACAAAGTGCACAACCAAACATTTAGTGAGAAGTAACAATACTTCCCTTTTAAAAAAATTTAAACACACTTTTCTGAATTGTGGAAAAAAATATGGTATCGAACATATACTACACAATACATAAAAGAGAAAAATACATAGTATAACCTATATAAATGGGCATAGACCGAAAACGCTTATTAGAACCACTCACATTTCTTAGAGCTGTGATTAGGCTCAATAATATGAGCCCCGTTCTAGGCTGAGGGTGAGAAAGTGCAGGACAAAGATCCTCAGACATTACAAGTAAGGTTCAGCAAGACGCCAATAAAATCTGATAAAAATAACATATACATTAAAACACATAAAAAGTGTCATGTAAGACCGTCCTTTTTAATATGGCACATATTATAGAGCCTCATCACAGCTCTAAGAAATGTGAGTGGTTCTAATAAGTTTTTTTGGTCTATGCCCATTTATATGGGTTACACTATGAATTATGTTGGATACCATGTGTTAAACCTCCATGACCAGAAGTATGAAAGTGCAGCGTTGCTGCTTGAAATTCTTCACATCCAGAGAGATCTTCACTCTTCTGCCAGGGGCTAGTTTCACCTAGTTTTTAGCCCCGAATTCTGGCCTACTTTGCCTAATGCCAAATCTGGGCAAAAATGACATCTATTGTCATCGAACAGCGTGACTGGTACAGGGGGGTTAAACTGAAAGGTATAGAGTTTTAGATCACGTTTTGCCTATAGGTGGAATGTATGTGATTTGTATTAAAAAGGGGCCTCACCGTATACAGAGAAGACATTGCGTTATTCAGAAAGTCATCATCTTTCTTAGGAGGAGTAACGGTGTTTCCAAAACCCACGTATCGATTCTCCTGGTTCCCAACACTTCCACCACTAAAATGAAAAATACAAAGTCAGATCTCTACACAATTACATGGCAAACAGCCATGGCCCAGAGCTGTCAGTGTACAGGCCTATATCCCAGCTAATTCCCACACTCCCAGAGCTGACAGTGTACAGGCCTATATCCCAGCTAATTGCCACACTCCCAGAGCTGTCCGTGTACAGTCCAACACACCAGATAATTCCTACAGTCCCAGAGTTGTCAGTATCCAGTCCCACACTGTAGATTACTCCCACAATCCTGTACAGACATCAAAGCTGTGAGACCTACCTCTGATAGGAATTCACATCATCGTTTAGCCAATCCTCAAAAGCCTTGTCTCCTTGCACTACGCCAGGCTGGCCAGATCCAGCGGATGTGCTGCACAGAGACTGATGGTTAATAAATTGCATGAACACTCATACTGCTGCCTCTCTCAGGAAAAAAAGAAAACCTCATACCGATAAGAGGAGCCACCCATTACTTTTGGCTGAGGGGGAGTCCAGTTCTGAGCAGATGAATTTTCTATTGACCATTCACGTCCTTCAGACAAGGTTGCGATCTGGAGAGAGGAAGGGAGAATATATAAGTGTTTTTATTGCCAAACGTACGCACAAAAAGTTGGCAATATAATGCAGGAGGGCCATTTCTACAGCAATTTGAATAGAAAATGATAAAAGATTATCGTAAGATTCGCACAAGCTTGTCGCAGCACAAACACCGGCCGGTGAGAGGCCATTCACGCAGACTCTCTCCCATACTGTAATCACGGCACATTCACCCTGTCCCTCACTACGAGACGGCAGGTTGTCCTCACCCTGTCACGATATAAGGCTGCTGCCTTGCTGTTGTATTTCTCCTGCATGTTCCAGCATGGATCATAGTCCTCCTGTGACTCCAGAAACTGCCGAAATTTGCCATTTCCTCCAACTTTCATCTTCTCCAGCTCAACGTCCTTCCACTTGTCCATTGTTACAGAACGTACAAAGCTTGGGAGAAGAAAGAAGCAAAATTGTGGGATTTATGTTTACATAGAGATCTAGGCTGAAATAATACTAATGTTCTGCCCTGAAACTGATTCTTTTAGGTTATTGATTCAAAAAAGCCAAAACCCCCCAATTGTAGCCATTCCAAACTATGTCACAAAACGGTAAAAATTCCTTCCTGACGCCATAATGGCAATCCAATTTCTCCTTGGATTGACAACCTGTTTACATACATATCAATTATATCGTTGAATATTCTTTTTGTGCAAAAAAGCATCCAAGCCTTTTTAAAAGATCTATAGAATCTGATCAGACAATCTCGATAGGCAGAGAATTCCATCTTTAATGTTGTTAGTGAAAAGAACCATTTTCTCTGCTGTAAGCAAAAACTCCTTTCTTCCAGTCTCAATTGGTAACCTCTTGTCTGTTGTATATTCCTGCTAATGAACAGGTTAGCACACAGCGTTTTTTACTGAAAATATATTTGTTTACATCTATCAATGTATACGAATTGGCATCTATTTCTGTAATAAAGCATTTTCCAATATTGATATTAAATCCCTCTCCACATTGAGCTTCCTCTCTGCACCATCCTTTGCTATAGTACATTTCTTTTACGCCTTCTGTTCAGAGGAAAAAAAACATATGCACTCATTATGTATTGTCACGCAGAGTTGCACGCTCTATTAGCCTTTCTTTGAATGTTCTCTGTATATTTAAGCCTTTCTACATATAAAGTTTCAGGAACTCAGCACAATATTGTAGGCGAGGTTATACGTGATCTACAACTCAGGATCTTACTACGAACCTAACTCCCTATAAAATCATATATATTCTGCAGACCTTGCCTCTTATTTCATCACACTGCTTACTTTTAATATACTTTAAGACATTAGCCTAGGACCCTTCCACTTTCTGCGAGAGGGAATCAAAAACACCATTCAATTAATATTGTCTTTGAAATCTGGTGTCCTAAATGCATTATTCTGGATTACTTGACATAAGAAAATATTCACTAAAGTGACAATTCAAAGTTAATCTCAAATTTAAAGGGACGCTATAATCACCTCAATAACCACAGCTTAATGTATTTGTTCTGGTGAGTATAGTTAGTCCCAGCAGGCTTTCTGCAGTAAATACCGCCTTTTCAGAGAAAAGGCAGTGTTTACATTGCTCCCTAGGACACCTCCAGTGGCAGTCACTTGGACAGCCACCAGAGGTGCTTCCTTGGTCAGTGCTGCACGATGTGCAGCGTCTCCACGCTCTGCATGGAGGCTCTGAACTTCCTCCATAGAAATTTATTGAGTCAATTAATCTATATGAGGAAATGGTGATTGGCCAGTGAGGCTTTTTACCCTGCATGTGCAAGTGCCTCTTTGGCTGAGATTGTCAATTCTGATGAGCTCAGTCAAGGAGGAGGATCAGGGGCGGGGCTAGGGTTGGCAGTCCACGCGGCACTGGAATCAAGGTGAGTTTTCTACTTATTTAAGTTGTCAAGTAGGGGACAGGCAAGCAAAAAAATTGTTTTGAAAACTGTAACATCAGAAATACACGTTTGTACTTCTGACCATATAGTGTTCCTTAAAGGACCACTATAGTGCCAGGAAAACATACTCGTTTTCCTGGCACTATAGGGTCTCTAGGTCCCCCTCACCCTCTGGGCCCCGCTCCCGCCAGGCTCTAGGGGTGGAGGAGGTTAAGTCTTACCTGTTTTCCCCCGCCGGGCTCCCTCGGCGCGGGGAACTCTCCTCCTCCTTTTTGCTGTCATTGGCTGAATGCGCATGTGTGGCAAGAGCCGCGCGCGCATTCCGCCAGTCCATAGGAAAGCATTCTCAATGCTTTCCTATGGACGCTGGCGTCTTCTCACTGTGAAAAGCACAGTGAGAAGCGCCTCTAGCAGCTGTCAACGAGACAGCCACTAGAGGCTGGATTAACCCATATGTAATCATAGCGGTTTCTCTGAAACGGCTATGTTTATAGGAAAAAAGGGTTAAACCTTGCTGGACCTGGCAACCAGACCACTTCATTAAGCTGAAGTGGTCTGGGTGCCTATAGTGGTCCTTTAAGTCCAGATAGCCTTACCGGAAAGATTCTCACCTTCCAGTTCAGCTACTTTGTATGTTTTTGATCCCCAAATTCTTGACCATTCCTCTGCTGATCTAAAATAATTACCGAGCTGGCTAAAGTGGACTTGTCAACTGTGTCTAACAAATTCACAACCAAAAAGGAACAGATTCCATGTGGATTCAGGGCAGCCAATCCAGACCACGAAAAAATGGTGTCTGCTCGGTGCGACAGATTTATTTCAATACATTTTCCAGTTTAGTGCACCTAAAATGTAACTAAATTAGAGGGTCAAAGTTATTTTCTAAACAGGGACTAACAAATTGGCAACATACTAAACTGGTAACTGTGGCGAACTGTGCAGGTCGTCATTTCAGATTTTAATGTAACTATATTGGGGAAAAACAAATCCTACTCCACTATTCCTCCAATTTGGTAATTTTAAGCTACAATTTGTAATTCCTTGATTACTGTTCTAATTATTTATAAAGCGATATCATACACCGCAGCTCTGTACAACACGTGGACTAATAAAGAAGACTTTCTGATAAGAAACGTTTGAGAAGTTCAGAATTTTCCTTTTTGTGAACAACTTTTGATTTTTAGTATCCCACTTTAGAAGTGACATACCTTGGGGATAAGGTAAAGCCTGGCGAACAACTTGGCTCAAACTGCAAGAAGGTCTTTGTACTCAAAACATGTAAAGAATTACTATATTATGGGGAGAGTCATCACAGTGTCATTGAATAATCTGCATCTTTATTGGTGCAAATGACCAATTTGGACAGTTTTTTTTTTCTTTTTTAAACGGTTTATTATGTTTATAACTTTTCTATCACTTGGCATTACTGTTTTCATTTTGTATTCTAGTGATATTTACATATTTTATGGTGTTCTCTTACAGTACTTTTGATGTAGAAACACAACAGAATGCTCGCACTGTATTCATAGTTTGTGGAACATGATGGTGGAAACCCCAAAATCGGTCAGATTATACAAAAAGAAAGGGATCATTTTAAAAACAGATTGGATCCCTATTCAGAACATTTTGATAAATCTCCCCTTAATGTCTGCAGTAGACATTTTGTGTAACGCTGGATGGAAACGGACCGTGTGAAACAGTCTAGAAGGGGCAGGAATCTCTCGCATTGGGGACCTCTAGCTAACTCATGTCTACTGGTGATTTTGAGATTTTGCTGCCACGTGGCACCATGACCATTATAAATAACGTCTGCAATGACTTGCACAACAAACATTATTAAAATATAAAGGCCTCGGGTTGGCATCTCGGTAATGGAGATTGTGAGCTGGGCTCTTACCTGAGATGGACCCCAAGCCCTCGATGCTTCCCAGAACACTCTAGACACACCCATATACCATAGGTCACGCTGACCCACTGAGGGTTGAATGCGCCACACTCAAAGCAGGTCTGTAACAAAGAAGAGTTAGATCTCATGAAACAATGCCGGAGAAATGTATTAGTCCAAGAGCAATAACCCAGAATAACTTCAGGTAGACACGTACGTTATTCTCATCCTGCACTCTGACTTCCTTTAGCACCTTCCTTGTCCGGGGGCTCGCCATATCTCTGCAAGAAAGCAAAACAGGAGTATCGTTAGAGACCCAGCAGGGCACAAAGACCGCTAGAGGCCTAGCAGGACGCAGAGACTGCTAGAGGCCCTTCCGTGGGCGGAGTCTGTTTATATTTATTATTTAAATTGTAGGGATGTGCATGGGCAAAAAATTTGGTTCGTAACTTTCTTAATTCGGGACTTCGGCAATTCAGCAATTCCCTAAGCCTAACCCAAACCTTAACCCTAACTCTACTTAACGCCAGATGCGACTACGGTGTTGGTCCATTCCACTGTCCTTTCTCGCCTTGACTACTGTAATCCGCTTCTCAGTGGTCTTACATGCAGCCAACTTGCGCCGTTACAGTCTATAATGAATGCGGCAGCGAGGCTCATCTTTCTGTCTGCCCGCACCTCCCACGCCTCACCTTTCTGTCAGTCCCTACATTGGCTTCCTGTAAGATATAGGGCTCAATTTAAAATTCTGGTTCTTGCTTTCAAATCTGTACATAATGCTGCTCCCACCTTTCTAGCCTCCCTAATACACAAGTATGTCTCGTCTAGGCCCTTACGCTCTGCTGAAGACTTACGTCTATCTTCAGTGGCGTACACACAATCCATTGAGCCCCGGTGCAAAACTGTTCACCCAGTCTCCACTCCTTCAGAAAATCATTAAAAAGCTACTTCTTCATAAAAGCATATGAATTAAACTGTTAATAGCTCCCGACTGACTCCTCTCTTGCAACTGTCATTAGTCTAATACTATCCTTACCTTTTGTGTCATTTTACCCCACTCCCTCTAGCATGTAAACTCATTGAGCAGGGCCCTCAACCCCTCTGTTCCTGTGTGTCCAACTTGTCTGGTTATAAATACATGTCTGTTCGTCCACCCATTGTAAAGCACTGCGGAATTTGTTGGCGCTATATAAATAACAATAATAATAACCAAATTTTAATTCGGACTGAAACTAATTGCACATGTCTATTAAATTGATCACATGTAATACACAAGCCGTTCTCAGTATTGAAAACAAGGGACAGGGATGACTAAGCACTGAGTAATAGGCTCTAAATTAGGCTATAGAAGGAACGGTCCTAGGTAGGAGAGCAACAAAAGTAATAGAGAGGAGGCCCTACCTTTAAGGATTCTAAGGTGTAAAATTAAAATATGATAAAATGAATAGAGTACCAGACAGAGGAAATTCTACTTAGGGTGACTGTAGCAACTGGGTCCCACAACAGAAACACCTTAAGTGTCAAAAATTGTCTACTAGTCACTAGTGCCTACCTGAGCCATTATCCCCATATTGGACTTCTGACCATCCCTTATACCTATCCACAAATTATGGGGACTTATCTATTTGTCCTTATCATATAAACAGGTAGGACTTTAGTGTGGCGGAACCAACCTCGCCACTGGACATTGGAGAAGCCTGTTTGCTCGCCTCCTGCCGCTGGACTATGGCCCCATGTTCAAAACTGGTATTCTCCCCTGCAGAAAGGCTTGTTCGTGCCTTTCGGCCTGGGCATTCGGTAGATTGAATCTACCGAACAAACAGACGAATTACCAACCATCTGGGAATGGAGTGTGCCGTCAATTGACCGCCCAGAAGCTGCGGTTAACCGCAGCTTAATTGACGAATGCTGGGTGGCCTTTGTTCGTTTGCCGAACACCTGGCAGCGGCCATTTTTAACTACCGAACGGCCAGCGGTGCTCAGCTCCAAATCTATGGAACTCAAAAAACGGACACTATTTGCACGAACACCGCTGAGCCGCCGACCTTCCTTCTCCTTCAATTCATGCGAACGCCGTTCGTTCGGTACTTTGACTTAGTGAACCATGCTACCCTAGACAGCTATGCCATGGAGCCCATTCGTATAACGAAAGACTATGAGAAAGACTTTGGCTCCATGGCGATTGAACTGTATGTATATGAGCTTAGCGCCATTCGGTAATAATGTGCGCTCAGATCTAAGCTATCTGGGGATGTGTTGAATGTACCAGTTTTATGCAATAGCTGCACAGTTATATATTTTTGTGTAAGTTTATGTCTTTTTGTCACCATGTGGGTAATGGAGTTTTGCCTCTGTCCTTGGAGATAATTGGATTACTTCCCAATTATCTCCAGGATAGAGAGGAGGGATTGTGATGTAATTGTGGGAGTGTTTAAAGGTGTATGTCCGTGATTGGTCAGTGTATATTTTGTGTCTGGTCCCCGAGGGGAGTGTCCACCAGGTGGGAGACCTGCATAAAAGCCGGGCAGGTAGCCCCAGTAAACCAGATTCTGCTTGACCCTCAAAGCGAAGTGTCGTCTCATTCTTGGGGGGATTTGATTGCATGCTGTTACAGTTCGACTGCCAGGAGTGGAAACTGTTCGTATGGTTTTTCCTGTTCGGCTGTTTACAGCATTCGTGTGGTTCCCGTTCGGGAGTTTGGAGAATTTGTGTGATTTGCAGTTCGGGAGAATGGTGCTTGCAGTAGCTGCTCATGTAGCTGGAGGGGAAGATCTCCTAAACGGCGGTTTAACCCCTTGTGTGCTGGGGGGATTTGTTACATAGTAAATATTAATGTATCACAATTTGATTCTGCGATCCTCACTATTTATCTTAGAGTCATTAACTTTAGACGGGGTGGGAATGTTCCACTTTGTGGGGACTCTGACCAATCTGCTCGTGCTAGGGTAGTTACATAGTTACATAGCTGAAAAGAGACTTGCGTCCATCAAGTTCAGCCTTCCTCACAATTGTTTTTGATGTTGATCCAAAAGAAGGCAAAAAAACCTATTCTGAAGCGCTTCCAATTTTGCCACAAACTAGGAAAAAATTCCTTCTTGACCCCAAAATAGCAGTCAGATGTGTCCTTGGATCAAGCAGCTATTACCCCACTAATTAGAAATGATATCCCTGTATGGTTTTGTAAGTATTTATCCAATTGCAGTTTAAACATCTGGACTCTGATAAAACCACCTCTTCAGGCAGATAATTCCATATCCTTATTACTTTTACTGTACAAAAAACCTTTTCTTTGCCTTAGATGAAATCTCCTTTCTTCCAGCCTAATTGTGTGACCTCGCGTCCTATGTATAGCCCTGTTTATGATTAGATTTCGAGATACTGGTTTGTACTGGCCACGAATATATTTGTATAATGTTATCATATCCCCTGAGAGGCACCGTTTTTCCAAACTAAGGAGATTTAAATTTTTTAACCTTTCTTCATAACTAAAATGTTCCATAGTGTCGGAGCTTCAATACACCCACTCAGACGCAGAATACAACCCCACATGGGCAAGAATCAATCCGGAAGCCTGAGAGGCGTTTCTGACACTCCCAATTAAACAGCCCCTGTGTGGGTAACGATCTATCGGATCAGACAATAGAAAAGAGAAGAGACTGCAATAGGTAGACTAAAAGAAGTACTCCCCAAAGCAGTCCCTATACTCTTAGTCAAACTGCTCCACCAGTATGAGGCAACAAATTGCTAGTAATAGAGCAAAAATAGAACTAAAAAAATTAAATTTTAATAACCCCTCTTAGGGGAACAATATGTATATATAACCAATGAGAAAAATGTGTAAACCATAGTGAAAAACGAATAAAAAAAGTCTAAAATAGGTACATCTGCTAATCTGTGATATAGACAGTAATCACACTCAATATTGGGCGGCCACTAGAAATAACTGTATCAACAGCTTTATTGTTACAAAGTGTCTGTGGACCAGAAACCTAAAATATGAGGTATGAACGAAACAAAAAAGAAAAACAATGTATCTTGCTTAGTAGATTGATGTGCATATAGTTGCATGTATGAAAATTATCTAATGAGGATAACCCAGGCAGGTATATACGCTGTAATTGATGGGGAGCTCCAAAATCGATCGTGCATAGGGTTGGTGTCGGAGCCTTAGGGGTAGTAAACAGTCAGAGAAATGATAAAAAAAAAAAAATATATGCTCCATAAGTACCCCAATGGTAGGCACGACTGAAAAATGCTTTGCAGAGAAAGAGAGACTAATGATATAATTAGTCCGGCCGGACAAAGTAAATGAAAATAATAAGTCGCTCTTAATACTAAACTGAATGAAGTGAAAATAGAACCAACATATAGCTTAGGTCCATGGTGCTAAATAAACAAAAAAAGATATTAAGTAGAAAAGTGTACCAAGTATCGATGCATTACACCGTTTCTGCCTACCTATGCTAGAAAAAGGAGTAATAAACGGCTGGCTATGAAAGGAAAAAGCTAAATATAGTCGTCCTAAATAATAAATGAAAAAGGAAGCCCCCCAATCAAATAAAAAAGAAAAGAAGCAGATTCCTAAGTAAAGTACATAGTGTACTAGGATTTGCTCAACGCGCGTTTCGGCGCCCACGTGCGCCTTTGTCAAGAGCTAACAAGTTGTGTAGTTGGCGCCACTTTTTAAACCCCCTAGTGCATGCCCATTTGGCGTGACGTCGTGATGACGCTCAGACGGCACTGATAGTGGGTGGGGCTAGGGGAGTGGCGATAACCGAAGAAACGGCATGAGGAGAGTAGCCCCTTCAGTGCCAATAGGGTAGTGTAACTGACACATGTCCCTAAACAGGGAGTCAGTAGTAAGTATATAGTTCATATGAAGAACAGATTAAACTGATCATACGAAAGACGTGTGTAAATATAAAGGATGTGGACAAGAGGTACATATATATGTTTATAGAATGGAAATAACTAAGAAGGGGATTCCAATAATGGTAGGATAAGATAGACAGGACACTAGGATGAGTAAATCTAGAATGTGTATACATTAGACGTATTTTAGTCCAACCATCATATAATGCATTCAAATCAAAGAATCACACTAAATACAGTATTGCATAAGATGTTGATTAATAATATGTGAGAGATAAGGATATCATTCTGCATAAAACAGACATCAATGTCACTTATAAATTGGAGAGAATATAAACTGAACATCTAAACTATCCATTAGATTAAGTAATCCATTCTAAGCAACTACTCAAGTCCATAAGTAATGAAAATTACAAAGATAAATTAGATAAAAGGTGCAAAGGAAAAACCTTCATTCAACCCATTGGGTTGTAGTGTATTAAGTCTGTAAATCCAAAAACTCTCGCGTTGCCTTAAGTACCTGTCATAGTCACCCCTTGTTTTATCTCGTTTCACTAGTTCTAAACCACAAAACCGTAGACCATATGGTTTACCTGAATGATGTTCCTTCAGGTGGTGAGCGTTCGGAGTTTCAATACTGAGTTTGGGTGACCTGACATGTTCTTTAATCCTTTCTTTGAAAAGGCGAAAAGTTTTACCTATATACTTACAATCACATTCACAGGTGAGTAGATACACTAAACCTGAGGTGTCACAATTAAAAAATGAAGTGATATTGAAAAGGTGTTTATTTCCACTGTCAGATACGGTTTTAGAATTACGTTTAATATACTTACAGGCCACACAGCGCCCGCATTGAAAAGAGCCAAAAATAGGTGTATTGAGCCAAGTCTTTGTATTGGGGCGTTGTGATTGGAAATGACTAGGGACTAAGAGGTCTCTTAAATTTTTGCCTCTTCGTGCTGTCATTTCCACATTTGGACCTAAGATCTTTTTTGAGGTGGATGTCACTGATTAAGAGAGGCCAGAATCTCTGCATGCCCAATTTTATTTTATCCCAACCTGCGTTGTATGTTGCAGTCATACGTGGGGAGGGTTGGTAAGTATGGAAGGTTTATTGTTAGCCAGAAGGGTCACTAATCAGACTCCAGGGCTCTCTTATATGCTTTTTTCAAGCACCGACTGGGATAGCCCTTATCCTTGAGTTGTTGTAGAAGGATGTTAGCTTGGACATTAAATTCCTGGATAGCGAATTGGCCAATAGGTATTCCTTGTTTCGGATCAGACAGCTTGTGAAGTAACCTTTGGAATACGAGCTGAGTGTAATGATAAACCCCCCTATTGAGGTAATATCTTACACAGCAGTCCACGATCCTACACAAATTAACTGAGGTATATTTACCTGGAGTTTAGCCAGCATTCAGACATTGCTCCTGAGACGGCTAAACGCACATCGAGCTATTTGTTGGCTTTTTTCACTACACTTGGTAGCACTTTGTTCTAATATTGCTTTTGATGTTAGATTCAGGCAGGCACTAGTGACTAGTACACGGTGCTGAGGTATTATAGGGTAAAGATTCATTGAGGTTTAGTTCTCTGTTACTGGGGTTTAGCCCCTCTATTCTCATCTTTATTCCCTCACCTCGTTACACCTGATTTTGTCGCCACGTCAGGGATGTGCTACATTGTGGTTTCTCTTACTCTTGTCATTTATTGACACTTAATGTGTTTCTGTTGTGGGACCCAGTTGCTACAGTCACCCTAAGTAGTATTTTGTCTGTCCCTCTGTCTGCTACTCTATTCATTTTATCATATTTTTCCTTTTACTCCTTAGAATCATTACAGGTAGGGCCTCATCTCTATTTTTGTTGCTCTCCCACCTAGGACCTTTTCCAAGTCCATATATCTTTTCATACATACATTTGAGGGTTATTCTCCTTTGGGAGATCGACAGTAAGCACTTTCAAACTAATCCACAAGGGGGAAAAGAGGGGAAAGGAAGGATAAGGGGGGGAGAGGGAGAGAGAGAGAGAGAGAGAGAGAAAGGAAGGATAAGGGGGGGAGGAAGGAAGTGTGGGAGGAAGGCTGACGAGGGGGGAGGAAGGATGAGGGGGGGGAGGAAGGATGAGGGGGGGGGGAGGGAAGGATGAGGGGGGGAGGAAGGATGAGGGGGAAGGATGGGGGAAAGGATGAGGGGGGGGTTGACGGAGGGGGAAGATGAGGTGGGGAAAGATGAGGGGGAAAGATGAGTGGGGGGGGAAGATGAGGTGGGGGGGGGAAAGATGAGGGGGGGAAGGATGGGGAAGGGATGAGGGGTAGGATGAGGGGGGGGAGGATGGTGGGGGAAGGGATGAGGGGGGGAGGATGAGGGGGGAGGATGAGGGGGGAAGGATGAGGGGGGAAGGATGAGGGGAAGGATGAGGGGAAGGATGAGGGGGGATGAGGGGGGAAGGATGAGGGGGGAAGAATGAGGGGTGGGAAGGGATGAGGGGAAGGAGCAGGGGATGAGGGGTGATGAGTGGGGGGTTCAGGTTATTGAGGGTAAGGAGGGGGTGCAGTGTTTATTATGGGGGTGCAGAGGGTGGAGGGGTGCCGGTATTGGTTAGTATCGGGGTGCGGGGGGAGGTTACCCGCTGTGTTATCGCCGTGTTGATAAATCGCGCTGTCCGGTCTCTCACAGTTCCGCCATCTTCCGGCTACGTTGCAGTTTCGCGAAGAATTCTGGGAGAGAAAATCATATCCTCACACTGAATGTCCGGCGCTGTATACCCTCACACTGAATACCCTCACACTGAATGTCCAGCGCTGTATACCCTCACACTGAATGTCCAGCGCTGTATACCCTCACACTGAATGTCCAGCGCTGTATATCCTCACACTGAATGTCCGGCGCTGTATATCCTCACACTGAATGTCCGGCGCTGTATATCCTCACACTGAATGTCCGGCGCTGTATATCCTCACACTGAATGTCCGGCGCTGTATACCCTCACACTGAATGTCCAGCGCTGTATACCCTCACACTGAATGTCCAGCGCTGTATACCCTCACACTGAATGTCCGGCGCTGTATACCCTCACACTGAATGTCCAGCGCTGTATATCCTCACACTGAATGTCCAGCGCTGTGTATACCCTCACACTGAATGTCCAGCGCTGTATACCCTCACACTGAATGTCCAGCGCTGTATACCCTCACACTGAATGTCCGGCGCTGTATATCCTCACACTGAATGTCCGGCGCTGTATATCCTCACACTGAATGTCCGGCGCTGTATATCCTCACACTGAATGTCCAGCGCTGTATACCCTCACACTGAATGTCCAGCGCTGTATACCCTCACACTGAATGTCCAGCGCTGTATATCCTCACACTGAATGTCCGGCGCTCTATACCCTCACACTGAATGTCCAGCGCTGTATACCCTCACACTGAATGTCCGGCGCTGTATACCCTCACACTGAATGTCCAGCGCTGTATATCCTCACACTGAATGTCCGGCGCTCTATACCCTCACACTGAATGTCCAGCGCTGTATACCCTCACACTGAATGTCCAGCGCTGTATACCCTCACACTGAATGTCCAGCGCTGTATATCCTCACACTGAATGTCCGGCGCTGTATATCCTCACACTGAATGTCCGGCGCTGTATATCCTCACACTGAATGTCCGGCGCTGTATACCCTCACACTGAATGTCCAGCGCTGTATACCCTCACACTGAATGTCCAGCGCTCTATACCCTCACACTGAATGTCCAGCGCTGTATATCCTCACACTACAGGCATTCGGATGAATCCTCTTGTTCGTGGGATTCATCCTACCGAAAGGTGGGCCGTTCGGGAGTTTCTATCAGTCTTTTCTGTAGCTCTGGAGTTCTCAGCGGTGTCCGATTTGGGTTCCAGACACTCGATCAAACACCGCTGTTCGTGATTTTAAGATGGCCGCCACCACGTGTTCGGCTCCCGATATGGCGGCCACGCACGGACTGTAACAAAGCGTTCGGGAATTTTAAGAGGGATTAAATAGAATGAACAGGGAGGTAGATTGAAGCCACACTTCGCATCAGGGTGGTCCGGTGATTCGGTAGTTTTAGATCGTATGACGAATGGAGTGGTTCAATACAGTCTATGGGGAATAATTAGACGAATGCTTTAAATCCACACAAACGTCTTTATAAGTGAGTCACACGAAAGTCTTGGGGATCAAGTAACCAGTAAGCGGGGAATATGCTGGACAGCCAGGTGGACTCTGCTACACTGCTCCCCCTTGCCCACAAGCTGGCCTACACAGTGTGATCCAGCATGGATTGGCTTGGGGATGTCCGGGGTTGCTTACGGATCATTTTTCCAAGTCAGTCTGTCTGCGTTCCCATTCTGTTTCCCCGGGCGGTACTGGATGTTAAAGTCAAAAGGCTGCAGCGCCAAGCTCCAGCGGAGCAGCCGGGCATTGTCCCCCGCCACCCGCTTCAGCCAGACCAACGGGTTGTGATCCGTGAGCAGCGTAAAGGGCTGTCCATATAAGTAGGGTTGTAGTTTTTTCAGGGCCCACACCACAGCCAGGCATTCCTTCTCAATGGCAGCTCACTTCTCTCGGTAATAATTTCCTGCTGATGTACGCTACTGGGTGTTCTCCGCCACCGCCCCCGACTTGGCTCAGTACTGCTCCCAATCCAAACATAGAAGCGTCTGTGTGAACAAGAAAGCGTTTAGTTGGATCGGGAGCTGCCAAGACAGGGGCATTTACAGGTGCATTTTTCAACTGTTGGAATGCCTGCTCACACTCCGGGGTCCAGGTGTTATAATTGGGGACAAACTTCCTGTAATACCCTGCCTATAATTGGGGACAAACTTCCTGTAATACCCTGTGTAGCGGAGAGCTGGTTCTTTCACAGGGTAACTCCACTAAAGATCCCAGTGAGGCTCAGGAACAAGTAATAAAATACCATAGAGTAATAATCACAGCAAGCAAGGTAATCCACGAGTATCCTCATACAGATCCCAATGACTGGACGACACACAGCATCAGGAGCAGAACTCAACTTTTAATCACACAAACTAATTTTAAAAGGTTTCTCCCATGCAAGAGAGGGATTCACATTAATTGGGACAGTAGCCAATAGTACAGTAGTTACCTCCCATACAACTCCCTCCCCTCAGTGTGACACATAATCCACTTATACATGATACAGTTTTACCCGGTTTCTGGATGTACCCCAAAACAGTTAGGTACAATTATCTAAGTGGCACCCCCTGGTAGCCCTGATCTGGGTGACTAACATATTCAAAATTCACCCAGATCAGACCAGGGGTTTGGGAGTTAGGTGGAAGAGACAATTTGACCGACCGCACACGAGGTGGTAGCCGAAAAGGGTTCCAGGTGTTTTGGCCCTGCAGTCGGTCTCCGTTCGGGAGATAAAATACATAGTAATATATGACATCCACCATTAAATCGGTATTCACATGAATACCCTTGTTTGGTACTTTTAATTCACCGAACGAGGGGCTGGTTAGCCCCTCCGTTCGAGAGTTATGGAGGTCTCAGCTGTGTTCGGGTAATTGACTGTCTGATTTAAATTCCAGACACTCGACGACCAAACACCACTGAGTTTTTCCCATGCGTAAGATGGCCACTGCCACTTGTTCGTATGCCGAACGGCGATCACCCAGATACATGCACAGAGTACCGATTGTACTAATTAACCTGCGGTCAGAGAAGTGTGAAAGCCTAATAAGGTGCTCACTTCTCTCTGGGGTGGTCTAATGGTTCGGTAGTTTTCATTAGTATGGAATACGGATGAAAACTACCGAACAATCATACGAATGCTACATACAATTTTAGCTATACATGAGAATAAACACACGAATTGCATTTTTAACACAGCCTTTGAGGACAGCCTTAGTACCATCCGCTACACCCTGCCGTCCCTAAAAAGGCTGTGATCCTTGTCTGCAGTTAGCACGGTCCTTTTGGGTACAAACATGCACAGTCTTTAAAAGGAACTTAATTCCAGGCACTTCACCACGGAGACAGCAGCAAATGAAAAAGAAACAATAATGTAACACAAATCCCAGAAACAAAAACCTACCTCGTCTGAGCACTTACTAACTTCAGGTTCCCTATCTCTCAGGGGTTAAACTATAACAAAACAATATTGATTTCACCAACCTAGTGTCTTTGTCAGCTCTCAGCACTCCAGTGTTTAGTCAGCCTGCTGCTCCCAGCCCTTCAAGAGAGAAACAAACATTTTCCCCTTACCTGCTTAGACGGGAAGGGTTTATTCCCACTGCTGCAGCTGATTACCTGCAGCTGAGCAGTGGGTTGGAGACAGTCCAAACCCTGGCCTGGACCTAGTCTCCCAATAAACTGAGGAGTGGAGCACTGGCCTACCTGGTCTCCCCTCTGCTTACCTGTCGGCGAGCGGCGTCTCCTCTCTGCCGCTCGCTGCCCGCGTCCTCCACGCCCCCCAGCGGCAGCATGTATAACGCTGCATGCTGGGAGGTCACTGAATTATGTAAACGCCGGGGTCACGTGAGTGACCCGGCGTTAAAGGAACAGTACCACAATCACAGTGGGAGGTATAAATATCCCCCACCTGTGATTGTTAATTCTGATTGGAAGTTATCCAATCAGAATTAAACCAAGGGTATTTATACTTACCTTTCCTGTCCCTCAGTGCCCTGTTGTGGTCTTGTGATACCTGTAGCGTAGTGTTCTCGTCTTGCTCTCTGGTTACTGATTATTTGGCTCGTTATTCCGATTATCCTGTCTTCTCCACTCCTTTGACCTCGGCTTGTTTCTCGTTCTCCCGTTTTCTGGCTCCCTTTACTTGGCTTGTCTCCTGACTATTCTTAGCGTGCTTAGCCCGGCCACTCTAAGGACCGGTATAGCACCCTTCCTCTCTGTGACCTGTTAGCGTGTTAGGTTCCGGAATCGTGACACCTTGCTCTCCAAATGCTCCACCCCAGGGGCCCATAACTAAATATTTATTTAAGTTATATATACACACACACACACTCCCCCTGGGGTTAAAGATCATATGCCTCCCTGAACAATGTAGTTGAAATATAAAACTACCTCACAGACCACCCCATTCACCTTATCACAAGGCTAACACCTGAGTCTTGGTCCTGGGGGTTGGCCACTGAGCTACGGCCTCTACCTTTGTGGGTTCTGGCTTCTGTTTTCCACAACCTACACGGTGACTGAATTACTGGACCTCTGCCATCCCTATACTACACTTGGCTGGTTTTAACGTTAACCCTGCCTCCCGGATCCTGTCTAGAACCGCTCCTATATGGGCCAGATGCTCCTGCCAGGTATTGCTGAAGATGGCAATATCATCGAGATATGCGCAGGTGTAGTCCTGGAACACATCTAGTAGTCGGTCCACCATCCTCTGGAAGGTAGCCGCGGCGTTCTTCATCCCAAACGGCATTACCTTAAATTGGTATAAGCCGAATGGGGTGACAAACGCCGACTTGGGGATGGTGTCCGGGGCTAGGGGAATCTGCCAATACCCTTTACAAAGATCAATGGTAGTGAGGTATTGGCCCCTATCCATCCAGTCTAGCAGTTCGTTTATCCGGGGCATGGGATAGGCATCAGATACTGTTTTCTCATTTAGTCGCCGGTAGTCCATGCAGAAACGGGTTGTACCATCCCGTTTAGGTACGAGGATTACCGGGGAGGCCCAGGGGTTGTCCGAGGGTTCAGTCACCCCCAGGTGGAGCATCTCCTGGATCTCCTTGCGCATACTCTCCCGTACCTTATAAGGGCCCTGCCAGGCGGCCTGTAGCTTGTCATGCCGGACAGGTTTTAAAATTAAAACTTTCTGCCCAACCTGGAAGCTACGGTCCCTGGCACTCCGATCATACCAGGTGTGCTGACGTGTCTGGGCCGCCTGAAGGTTCTCACGGACTGTAGCGGAGAGCTGATATTCCACAGGTTATCTCCACTCAAAAACCCAGGGAGGCTCAGGAACAAGTATTACAAA